TGCTGTGGTCTACTGTATCAAATGCAGCGGTTAAGTCCAGTAAAACAAGAATAACAAAAAACAAAACAAAACAAAAACTAAACAAAACAAAAACACAGATCTAAACTGTACATTGTTCATGATGCAGCGATTTGCAGTTTGTTCTTCCTCCTTCAGCTCCCAGTGGGGTTGGCTCAGAGGGCTTTATTTGTTCAACATTCATAAGCACACTTTACTGTCTGCTAATAAAACACTGCGGCTGCCTGGCTTAAAGCTGAGGGAGAAGTTTGTATAACAAAAAAGAGAGAAAACTTTAAAGAGCAGAGCAGTCTGCTGCCAACAGGGGGCACAGCTGCTTCAGTCTTGAACTTTAGGCCAGGTGTTTTCGGGGTGGTAATTATGCTGATCTCTTCATGTTTACGCAGCTCCTTTACACACTTTTCCTGAAGATAGAAGCGTTTGCTGAATTTGACGTGGCATGTTCGTACGAACCCTTTCTACGAACAAAAGTAGAAATTTAGGATAAGAAATTTAGGACAAGAATATGAAAACGTTCTTGCATGAGGCCCATTGTTTCCCAAAACATACCTTCTGAAAAGAACTTTAAACACCAATTATAAAGTGAACGGCAACTTCATGGTTCCCTCATGTTTTTTTGCTGGTGATCCAGTTTGGCTCTCACAACACTAACTTCTCCTTGTACCTTCATGTGTGAGTACCTCCACTTCTGAAAATCAGCTCGACCTCAACTTCCTCCTGCCTGCCCACTTTTCCATCTAAAGACTCACTGGCCTCCACGGCTCTCCTGCTCTGGATCCATATCATCTGAACCTACCCTCTCTGGACTCCTGGAATCCTCCATTTCTCCCTTAGAACCTAAAAACAAGAAAAATAACCATACACCTCASTTCAATCATCCTTACCTCTGCTAGCATCCCTGACATTTCTCCATCCCCAGATGACTGCAACCTGCTTGTGCAGGCCCTGTCAAAAAAATAAAAAATCCTCTAATTTTACTTTTTGTGTTTGAAGTTCTTGTTAAAAGTGAAATGAACYTTGTGAAACTTACAAGCATTCATTATCAATGGGCCACAATGGAAATAAGTGTTTCTCACTTTCTTGTGTTATCCAAGTACTAATAATGAATGTACTAGATGTGTATGTACATGCAATATTACTGATAAAATCAATCAATCAATCAATCAATCAGTCAATCAATCAATCAATCAATCAATCAATCAATCAATCAATCAATCAGTCAATCAGTCAATCAATCAATCAATCAATCAATCAGTCAATCAATCACTCAATCAATCAATCAATCAATCAATCAATCAATCAATCAATCAATCAATCATCATTCATCAAATCATTTTTATAGAGGTTAATGTATGTCTTTGTTGAGTTGATGTGACAAAGTCTTTAGCACAGACTGTAAAGTATCATGTCCTCAGGGGCGGAGCCAGGGGATGGCCAATGGGGTGGCCATGGCCACCACAGACAAACATTTGGCCACCCATTGGCCACCCTGCCATACACAAACCTTCCACACTAAAACCACGTTTAGGTGTGTAATAATCCTCCTGAACAGTTGGTGGCAGTGTTTAACAGTTTGAAACATCACCAAGCTCTATCACTGAAGAAGAATAATGACAAGGAAGTGATGGTTTTCCTTATATACAGAACATATAACTATGTAATCTGACTTATGGTGTCAACTTTTGGACAAATGTTTTTATTTTGTTTTTTGTCACCATAACACAGTGTCAAAAAGAAAAAATTKTATAGGTCTTCTGGACGGGTTCTTCTCTAATGAAATGTTTCCTCTCTTCTCCAAGAGACTTCTTCAGTCTGAGAGTTTCAGGCAAAATTCAGGCTTTTAAGTCCTGCCTCCATGTGACTGATACTCACATCACATGGCTAT